TGACAAAAATATTCACCAAATTTAGAGAATTAAAGATATCATTACAAAATGAACAAATCTGAGAGAGGTCCACATGTAGTACCTATATATGTAATATCAAAGCAATTGGACTTGTGGTTTTTAACAAGAAGTCGAAAGTATCACTTTTTACCAAAAATGACAAAAATATTCACCAAATTTAGAGAATTAAAGATATCATTACAAAATGAACAAATCTGAGAGAGGTCCACATGTAGTACCTATATATGTAATATCAAAGCAATTGGACTTGCAGTTTTTAAATAAGTTGAAAATATCACTTTTTACCGAAAATGACAAAAATCATATTCACCAAAATTAGAGAATTGAAGATATGATCATGAAATGAACAAATCTGAGAGAGGTCTACCCAAGGTACATATACACCAAGTATCAAAGCATTCAGACTTGTAGTTTTCAAGAAGAAGTCAAAAATGTAAAACATTGACACGAACGACGAACACCGAACGACTGACAATCACTCGTATGATAAGCTCCGCTCGACAAAGTCGACAGCGGAGCTAAAAAATGGTAACTATTATTCTGTGACATACTTTTGTTTGCTGCCTTCTTGTTTGCCTTCTTCTCTCGTTGGCGACACCAACTTATAGAACTCATCAAGGTGATTCAACTGCTCTTCTGACAGAGTCACAGCACCATGATCTCCCTTGATGAAATCGTTCCTCACATTCTCGTTGCCGAGTTGATCAAGTAGGTCCTGCAGCTCAAGTATGCTTCGGACACTTTTTTGTTGTGCCTCGAGACGTTGGATGTGCTCACGCTTCGCCGTCCTTTTCTGCTGTTTTACAGCCTGAATACAAGTTGAAAATAAATTGTACATTAGTTAAATTTCCATAGAATGCAATGATGATAGACGTGATTTCAAAAATAAAGTGTATATATTTTTTCACTTTTATTAAAGCAGATTAATTTTACAATGAAATATTTAAAATAAATAAAAGTTAAAATAATTAAAGTACATGTAGTTAATTCGTAGCTAGTAGAATGGAAAATGAATATTAATGAGCTCATGAATATTAATTAGCGACCGGCACTCAAATCAAGCTGGGCAGAACCCTGAAAGCTCCAACTTTCCCGTTCCCACAAACACGATTCCTCTACGTATAAAAGATCTGCGCATGCTTTATGTCCTTCGGCTTTTACTGCGACACCGTAAAACAAGACCTTGGAGTGCGTACTGTACGCAGCAACGCTTGGGAGAAATGACGCGTCGGCGACGATCCTGGGGTGAAAGGACAGCAAGACAAAGGGAATTATGGGAATTAAACTTGCCTAAAACAAAAGAAGTTTAGGAGGATTATTTTGGCTGTGACTCCTCCTTTTACCTCCATGAACAAAACCTATAAAATATACGTTGAAATAAGACAAAATAACTTTAACCATAGTGATAAATAGTGAACCTGCTATAGATTTTCACGATTATACAGTGATATTAAACTTCTCTCTTTGTTTCATAAACCTAGCTAGCAATATCGTCAACAAATTGGCTGACAATACAGCTGAGTTGCAGGCAATGTTGACTTCAAATCTACTGGCTTCCTGAAGCAGCATTACTCGCAGCATGGCTGTATTGTCAGCCAATTAGATGACAATATTGCAGGTTAGGGGAACAACAAAATTTGAAGCCAGAGTAACAAATTTACAACTTATTGCAATTTGAACAAATTCTAGATATTTTGGTTCAGCTTCTTCTGTAATCTGATTATAGGTGTTGCCTGTGTCTGAACCCGGGCAGCTTCAAGAATTGAATATAGTTTGACAATTAACCAATCACAAGTTTTACCTACTAATTCCCATATAATTACGTCCGCTGTAGCTAGAATTTTGTTATGATTTAGCAAATATTTAACAAGATGTAAATCAGACTGAAAACAAGTGTGAACTTTGTGACCAAGAAATTTCTCTAATTTATTTACATGTAATGTTGTTAGCTTTAAACCATGAAATAGACTCTGCAGTACTCACATCTTGGAGGATCGTCTGGAAATGCTTGATGAGTTCTTTCGCAAATTCAACGTTACTAGCAACTTCATCATACTTGGCAAGGGCATCAAGCTGGTCTTTATTCAATTCCTGGCCCTCAGTTACCATCACCTTGTAACCATCAAGCTTAACCTGTCGGCAAAACAAAATAAAACATTGTATGGTAACCGAAGATCTCTAAGAGATGAAAGCCATTCTTCGTTTATGTCGAAGAGCAGCGAGTCCTCCAAGTCAATATACGCAGCAAGTTGTGCAAATTTACTCGCGCTTCTTTGATAAAACCATACATTGATATAGTAATCTTGACAAAAATCTTACTGTAGTTATGGAATTTATAATTTTGTAATTTAATAATAAAATTCAGATTTTATAATTGGGTGTAAAAAAAAAATGAATTAAATCAGGGACTACATAATTTGTGTTTGTATCTTAAGTCGCCTATACAGTCATATACAATGATATTTTTTTTTTTTAAATCACCCATCAAGCTGACTAAACTTGATTTTGAAAGATTACATTTTGAGTCCGAATCCCTACAAAATATTGCAACTAGACATTTTATATTTGTTGAGTGAGTGAAGTATTTTACAGTAGTCCTGTTAAAGGGCACACTGCAGCTGAATCTGGGTGGGTACTTGAAATTCAATAAATGACTGTAAATCAAAATTGTAATGCAATAAACACCATGATACTCTTGCCAAGCTGTGCATTGTAAAATAGATAGCCTTGAACCGTAGACTATGCTTAGACAACCCTAATAGAGGTCTTTCAACTACACAATATTGAACATCATTTTGCTCAGATACAGCAGCCATTGTAGAGGGCACACACTCAAGACTCTTCATGCATAACACCTCTTGCTGGAGGCTTTGTGATGTAATATGAAAGACCCCTATATTATGAATGTCAAGGTCAGCACAAATAACACATGGAAGAGAATTTTTTGAGGCATAAATTAGTATGTTTACACACACATTCATGATGCAAACAAATTTACATCTACGACTGCAATGTGTTAA